TGTGGAAGAAAATATGTTTTCTTTGCTCACCTACCTGTTGTTTGATCCTGCTTGGTATGTGTATTGTGTTTATGAATAATTTAAAATGTTGTAGTTCTAACCAAATTCCAGTCTAATCACGCCTTTTCATTTTACTTGTTGTTTCTCTTTACTTTGGTTTTTTTTGTCTTTTCTTTAGCTGTGAATTACTCCCAATGAATAGTTACCTGTGACACTTTTACAAGACGAGTAACTGAGTGTGTGGATAACAAATTTACTTTTCTTTTAGCGAAATGCAAGTCAACGAACTACTTGCAATTAATCTTGTAGTGTCTTCATTTAGAATCCATCTAAATTGTAGATACGACGAGTAACTGGGTTTAGAAAAATCTCCTAAGATGAGATTGTTAAAGAGACTTTCATTTCGTATAAAAGTGCATTAATAAGAGATTAGAAGGTCTATCTCACTGGAAGAAGGCAGCTGATCGGCGTTGTTCTGCAGCCGTTTGGCTTTAATACGACTTTTTGGTTGATGCAGTTCACGAGACATCCTTTCTAGTTTTAGGTGAATACGAACTACACTTTCGTCCATCTTATGACGAGCACCATCAGAGCTGGAACTTATTCTTGTATAAGTGACACGTTAAAACTAGGTCGAGAAGATATTCTGGCCCTATCTCATTTCTTATATAGACTTGGTTGGTATATTAAAGGAAAGAGAGGGTGTTGAGTCGTCATCAAAAGGAGGCTGGTCAACTTGTCCGCTCAGTGATGATTTTAACTTTACTCACACTTATCCAACCTGTTAGATTAAGCTCATCAACCAAACCAGACGTATGGGATTATGCAGCCCAAATTATGCCTTTCCTTGGCTTGTTATATCTTAATTATCCTAGACCGAGAGGTTAGGGCGGGTGGTTTCGTAACCTTACTTACACATTTACAAACTTACATCTCACTATCTAAATCATAGTTGCTTATGCACTTATACAGTCTCGGTCAGGGATTCTTCTTGGGTCATTAAGCCCTGATTATCACAGTCGGACATTAGCCTTTTTTATCACTCTGATTTAGGACCGGTATTGCGTATAGATGCTAACATACACACACTTGAGCAAAAGTAGCAGAACTAATATGAAATATAGTTTTTCAAACCATTCAATATCTATATATGCCTGTTAATTTTCCTTTACTTAATTTAGTTTATATGAGAGGTGAGATGGTGCCAGATAGTCTTCTTGACCTAGTGTTAACGTAAGGCTTTTACAAGAATGAGTTTCAGCTCTGTTGATGAACGGAAGCCAGTCTCTTTTCACTCGAAACGAGGTAGGATGTATTGCGGACTGCGTCAAACTGAACGTCATATTAGAGCTAAACAACTGCAAAAAAACGGGAATCAGTCGTCGTCTTCTGTTGAGTTCGATCTTCGAATCCTTTCTTAATACATCTACATACAAATTAAAGTCTATACAGCAATTTATCTAAGTTTTTCGAAGTTTATTACTAACCATTCAAACAAGTATAAGAATATTAGTCATTTTAATTTAGAAAATGATTTAATTAGAGAATACGATATTTTTCTTTATGTACACTAGTATTATGCTAAGCGAGGGATGACAGTATTTACAGATAAAGCTAGATCTCTTTTTTTAAATATTTTTTTAATTTAATTTTTTTTTAGTCCTCACTTTATCAAACCTTGATATACATAATTGAATACTTAGCCGCTTATAGCTGCTCCCTTTTTTTTCTTGTGCCAAGGCTTCAGCCTGCCTTAAACTAGGAAAGCTCTCTTCCGCTGAGTCCTTGCTTAAAAGTATCCTCACACCTCCGCAATCACAGTCACCTCCCAGGACTTCCACCAACGACCGAATTCCATCCCATACTTATGATGCTACAGCTTTTACTAGCATGACCTCAAAGTTCCAAATGACCTCAAGAAGTGGCCAAATTGGTAGTGGTGTTGAGCGTGGCCTGCTTGCTAGGCCACCAAGAACCACGGGCTCAGGGATTAGTGTCCCGCCTCCTTTATGGATGGTGGCGGAAATGCGAAAGACAGCAGCTGATACTCACCCCGATTCGAATTCCGAGTCACACGGTCTGCCTTTCATTGACTTGACTGTATGGGCTGAGCATTCGGGAATTGATGTGTAAGCAATATTATTATGACAGGCAAAGCAATTGTTCATTAGTCTTTGAAATGACTAATACTATTCTTGATTTTCTTTTGCGAACGCCCTCGAATGCTTGTAATGTAATTATACGTATAATGACCTATATTTTTTGTTTCGTTTAAAGATTGATTTACCCTTATATCCTCGATTTCCTTATGCTTGCACATGCTTCGTAAAATATATTCCTAACTATTAATGTAACGGTAGCCATGTTTCTTCCCAGTTTGACTGTTGAACAGGCATACTTTTAAGCATTTCTCTGGCACATTTAGCATAGTCATTTCGTGATACTCTACTGTCAAAGCCGAGATACTCTCCTCCTAGTCATCTTATAAACATGACGACACTGATTAAAATCTCAAGCTTGACTTAACTCAACCAGATTTTTGCTGGTCATGATAATTGAAACGCTACTAATCTTATAGTATTGACATTTAAAAGTTTGAATTTTTATAATAAATGGATATATTAAAGTGACAGCAAAAATATGCGCGTATTTCAAGATTTTTCTAGTAGAAAAAACTGATCCTGGACTTTTAGCTGGCATCCTTCCATATATTGAAAAAAAAATCTATTTGGGATTTTTACCACATAATCCAGATGATTATAACCTTATTTTAGAATCTTTGTGATATTCTATAATTTGCTTTTATACTTCTTAGGGTTGATACAATTGAGGGTTATTAAATTCCTGTGAATGCAGCCGAGAATCTATTTGCTTTCTTGAATTGTCTGTTGTGTGACCATGCTATAGTAATTCACTTGCTATGTCAATGGTATTTATGAATTACTTGAGATATTGAAGCCCTAGCCAAATTCCAGGCTAATCATTTCTTCTTGAGTTACTCTATGCTTTTACTACTCCAATTAATCAGTTCTAGCTGCTTTTAAGCTCGCTTTATCATTTTCCTCTTTTTCCTTCTTGTTTTTCGTCCTTTTGTCATAGCTCTATAATAAATTCTTTCTATAGCGGAAAAATGTGAGCTTATATCACTCATCTGGTGTCCTGTATTAGCCACCTGTTGAATCACTTGACTTCATGGACATATACATGTTTGCAGGCCATTTATATTCTGACAAATCTATATTTTGGTCGGCAAATTCCACCAGAGTAGAGGCCACTATATGAGCACAAAACCTTGTAGTAAACTTTATGGATGAGTAACTTCCTATCTTGGCCTAATTAACTGTTACCATCGATATTTATGCATTATTATTTCTGTCTGCAACATTTTTACTTTACGAGTAAATGAGTATGTAGAAAATAAGTACACTTATTTAACGAAATTTAAGGTCATCAAGTGCTAGCACTTAATTAATAACTG